GACACCTGTCTTTCAAACCAAGACAATGTTCCAGAGGGAGGGATGACACTGAACCAGGATTTGCCCTTCCTCAGGCCCATCCAATGCAACATGATGTATTCATCTTTGCCAGAAACCATGAGCTTGGCAAAGACCTTATTCATCCCAGTGCCCTAGAGGTTGTAACGACTGTGACTCCAAGGAGGGATACTGAACTGGAGTACTGCAGTGATAGTTCAGGCCTCTTTTGGCTAGATAGAAGGGCACTGATAGTTCACTTTAGTGATGAGCAGGAAAAGTCCCTGTACAAAGACCAAGGGAAGAAGAAATACCAGGAGATAAGACAGTGTAGTTGTTCCTGGATATTAACTATGGCTTAATTCACCTACTGCCAGTGCCTGTGCTTGCCATGGATATGAAGTAGAAAATTAAGTACCTGAGACGAGAAGTTGTTCTTTTCAGAGGAACTTTCCAGCTCTCACCAAATACATTCACGTTCTTCACCCAAACACCATCTGGATTTGTGAAGTCATTTCTGTATCTCCCATCAAAGTTACCACACAAGCCTTCCACTCTGCTGCTGTAGGTGTTGGCCAGCTTTATATCTAGGGAAGTTCAGAAGAAAAAAAAAGACATTACACAGAAATCTTTGCTTCTGTGTGTGTGGAAGAGGTGGAAAGCAGTGCCAACTAACACATTTCATGATTCAGATCAGAGTTGGTCATGTGACACTGGCCCTCATACGTAGGATATGAACATAGCCCTGAACATGCATGTTTGTACATGTATTCACAGGACTGTTTTCTGGACTCAGCAACACGGATCATGAAAAAAGTCTTTTCTTGCAGCCAATAAGGTATTATGTAACAAGATATCATCACCTGAGTGCTCTTAGTGCATACTGCTTACTGCTTTGCAACAAGCTGAATGGACCTCCCACTTTTGCCCTTCATTTGCAATCCACTTGCTCATTGAGAAGCAGAATTCCTATAAAACAGACCCTTTCATTCTGCAGTTGGAATAATGGTCATGTATATAAATGGCCTGTCACTCTCACCATACAGTCAGAAATAACATGGCTATGTTTTGTTGTAAATCAGGAGTAACTTTGCTTTGAACAGAGGAGGTAATGTGTGTTCAACTTACATGAGTGAGTTGTGTATATGTGCTATAAGAATTCTGCCAAGAAACATGAAAGAATAGGATTATCTGGAATAGGCTTGAGAAGAAGCATGTAAAAGGTTGCGCTCACAGCTGTATAACTTGATGACCTCAATTGTATGACTGGGTTAAGCTGGCAAAGGGGCAGATCCAGGCTTCACCCCATCAGCAACTTTAAGTGATTTGCTTTTGTTTTTATCACTCAGGCCTTACTTAACATGAAAAAAAGTATAACAGTTTGACTCTACATCTCATTTCTATTAAGTTCAGGTGGATCCAGATAAAGAAATGCCAGTTTTATGGGTTTTTTTGGCTCCTGGGAAACACTTTTTGTTTTAATTTTGTGGAGGTTCATATCACAAAGGGTCATAGGCTCAAAGGGTGAAGGTTTCAAATTGTGCCTTGTGTTTAGACCTCCTTTGGAACGAGAACATTTTTTGAGACAGTGCTTGAATATTCCTGCACATTGTCTTAGTATCACTTACCTGCATTTTGATTGCCATCAAAGCTCAGGTATAAGCCAAAATCTGTCTCCAGGAGAATTCTTGTTGTCCTCTGATATATATGAATACCTTCATGAGGACGAGCAGGGGGTCTCACGCTCACACCATCCAACTAACAGGGAAAGAATAAGTTAGAATTCATAATATATAGGCCAAATTTAAATCTGGCTTCAGTACAAGTCAGTGCTACAAATGAACACTCCTCTTCTCTGGTTTTATGATCAATACATCAGATAATTTAACCAGGTAAAAACCTCAATGTTCAATTTTTTAAAGTTAAGAAAATCATGTATTGAGGAAAGTCATCTGGACACAGTACTTTCCTATCATCCTAAGCAATTTCTATTGAGCAAAAAATGTGTGTATGAGCTATATATACTCTTATGCACCAATAAGTAGGAACTGAAGTTTTCTAGCATAATTCACACTTTTCCCTACCACTGATAAAAATTTGTATGGCTTTGTTGTAAGCCTTGGGATATTTGGTGTTTTATTCCTAAATCTCTATTTATTAATTTATTTATTTGAAGTAAAATGATATCCTTCATAGCTATAAAGAATCAACACAACTGAAAATCACCTTTGTGGTTGCCCTGTAGCATTGCTGTAATAATACGGTTAGCTTTAATACTTAAATTCTTCAAAACAGACATTTACTACTCAAAGGTGTTTTAGACCAAGGGAGGGCCTTTCTCTGTGCTCTGCAGTCAGCAGGAGACTTACCACAAGCTGCTTGTTCTGCCTGAATCGCACTGTGTGATTGTAAACATTGACGAGAATTTCTTTCAGGTAAGTAATGTGTCGACTTCGACGAAAAGGATAGTTCACGCCTTCAATGCTGAACTGCGTCAGAGTATCAGGTAGGTCAGGGGTAGTCTGAGCCAGAATATACGTGTATTTCCCTTGAAAGTGGTGCACCAGACCATCAAAGGTGATGTAGTGTGGGTCACCCATGATCTGGCATTTCCCAAAACCTAAAGGGGAAGAGCTTCATTACTCTCCAGTCTGAGTGTGCATGTGCCAGATCCCATGCATGGATCAGTTTAAAATAAGTTGCATAAAAATGATTGCTGCTAGAATGCGGGTCTCTTAAAGATGGGTGCTCAGGCATCACTGTAGTGAATGGGCACTCAAATGGAGGGGTGGCCAGAGAAACTCATTCCTCTGCTGAGAACCAGTGTAAGCCAACTGAACTGAAGCAGAACATTAGGGTTTATAGGCTTTATAGAGACTATGTTGTGTGCATTGGTCGTCTGCCGAGGAATGACTCTGCCACACAGCATGGCTTGCAGTGGGCTCTTGGAGATGTTGATTTCATAATCCTCAGCAAGGTGTTGGTACAAAATTATTGGAAGATGAAAAGCAATGTCTAATTTTGGCTGGCTCACTTCTGTCACACTGATTTCTTGTGAGGTTTCTAAACTGATCATTCGGTTCACCAGACCTAACAATCAGAGGCAGTGTTCTCCTTGACCATTGAGCACAGAGCAAACCATTATCCCAGGAGCAAGGCTGTCCTTAGGACTGCTGGGGTGCCTCTGCTGTGGTATTTTGCCAAAATGAAGCAGGGGGAAGCTGGATTTGCATTATGCTCTTGTACTGATCATCAATACAGTAGGTCCTATGCTATACTATTCTTCAAAATTGAGGTGTAGAGTCACTAGGCAACAAGCTGTCTCCTAAACAGTCCAATTTACCTAGAGAATATGGGATTAACTCTGCTTAACCAAAGCAAATAATGAACGGAAAAAAACACAGTTCTCTGACTGGCCTATTACATATCTGTTCAGATCTGCTCTGTCCTGTTTTACCTTTATGTTTTCTGTTCTCAAGTCAACATGCAGTGGAAAAAAAGACTATTGCCAAAGGATTAATAGATATATCTGAGTTTTGGTTTTGGTAGATACAGTGCAAAACTTTTTTCTTTTCTTTTTTGATTTAAACTACTCAGACTGAACTGCCAAATTTCTAGATGTAAGTAAATTTTCAAACTCTTGTTCCACTTCCCTCTACAGATTCTCTGTCTTGTACCAGAACTTTCTATTATGAGAACTTAGGCCTTTTTGTGTTCAATGATGTGTCATCAATAGCACTGTCAGAGCTGCCTTCTTTCCCCGTCAAGAAGACTGGAAGTGCCATGGAAGAAAGAATGGATACCCATTCCTTCTTCTCCAGCCCTCATGGAACACCAGGTGAAGACCTGCCTGCACATACCTGTTGGATTGCACTTGTATTTTCCATTTTTGATCACGCAGGTTTCTTTAGAATCACAGCTGTAGCTCTTACATGTGATGACACCGTTCTGACACTGGCATCTTTTGGTGCAGTGTGGAGTTATCCAGGTCTCCCCAGCCTGGACACAAGTTGTGTTAATAAAATATTATCGAGGTCCTCAGCTTTGCAATGAAATAAAAGTTCAATAGTAAGGAGTGTAGGGGCTGGCTAGGTGCAACCTGTGCAGTTGGCAATTCCACAACTGCTCAGTCAGATGTAATCTCACCAAGAACCTGTGAGTGGAGATTCCACTTCATTTGTCTTATTGTCTTTGACATGAGAATTTGAACACAAAAGAGGACTAGGATGGACTGCCTGAATAACTCTGATCAATTGACTGGTTTTGAATATGCCTCAATTTTTGCCTCGGGTGCAAAGTACCAAGCTGCTGCATCTCCTAATACCTGAGCCTGCATATTTTACTAATCAGATGAAAGGTATTTAAGAGGTGGATCCTGAAGATTTCTCTCTCTCTCTTGTTCAGATGGGCAGGAGAACAACTTTCTACAAGTGTTGCAGCCAGAGATTTGCTCCACACACAAACTACTTACAGTGTAGTAATTGTTGTCATCATCCCTGCAGCCACAATCGCTCAGAGGTACACAGTTGCCATTACTGAGCACATAATTGTTATCACACTCACAGCCTTCTGTGCACTCTTCTGTCTTCTCACAAAGGGAAGAGGCAAAAATGTCATTGCATGTTGATGGGCAGGTGGAAACACAGTCCACGTAATGGCTGTGGGTTGGACAGGGCAATGCTGTGTGGGTAAAGAGAATAGAACCAGCATTATTAAATGCATTTTAAAAAGTGCACTGCAAACCACACGTGCCTGCCTGAAAGCTACAACTTGGCCTATAAAAAGGTAATATAGAATTGCCTTTTGACAGCTGATTTTGATCATTGACCGGTTTTGATTTTTTATAGTTAAAAAAAAAAAACCCACAACAAAAACAAAACGGAGAACTGGAGCTGCTGATTCAGTTCTATTACAGATATGCCTGAACTGGTGGCGCCTTGTGCTAGCTGGATCATTCGGATTCAGTATTCCAGTTCAGCTGCAAGTGCCTCTTTGGGCACTGCTAGAAAAGAGAATCTTTAGGGCAAATTCCTTAGAACGTTCAACCTTCCAGTGATACAAAACAGGTATGTATCTAGCTTAATCACAGACATTAGCACATGGAAGAACAACAGATACTCATTGTCGGACTGAAGATTCATCTATCTCTATACTCCATTTCTGCCGACGACTAGAGATGCATAAGGGGACAGTTCAAGAAACAAGGTAGCAGGACAAAGGGTTTGTGTGTCCAGTGTTTTTCTTCACTCATGGCAAGGAGGAAACTAGGAGTTTCTGATGAACCTATCAACATTCATCTGGCTTTTTTTTTTAACCAGTTACTTGTTTTGTCCTCCACAACACTATGTTGATAATTAATTCCACAACGTAATACTAAATTGTGAAAAAAACCCCCAACAAAAAGAAATCCATTGTGTTACTTTTGCTCATTTTTACATAACTTGTCTGTAGCTTTGTTGAATGGGTGGAGTGAGGCACATACACTGGAAATTAATCTGAGAACATGGCCCTTAATAAGCAGCTGGCCAAATTGCCAGTTTTCATTCAAAACACAGTAAGTGGCATTGAGCCCTGTATCCTAACACAGTATCCCACTTTGGTTTAGTTTTCTTGTTGTATTATTTTTCCATTTTAGGCTCATTGCAATATCTCATGGCACTCATTTAGCTATAAAGTCATTCTAACTCCACATTGCTATCCATAACTTGTCTAGTCCTGAGTTATCACTGGGTTTAGCTCAACCTGAACACAGTTCAGTACAACAGTGGAGTCATAAAATCATAATACTAGAATTGCATTTTTTGAGAATTTGGGTTTAATTTTCTTTTGCATAACTTGTTCACCTAATACTGCTAGTTTGTTTTCATGCTATTAGCCATCCAAGTTTCATTTTTTTCACTTGCTTGTGCACTTACGACAGAATGTGCTATTCTTCCATTTAATGGCAATTCCGTGGTTCCTGCAGATGTCCACATAGACTTGAACTATGTCACAGAGAGTGGACTTCATGCCATCATACCGGCACATGTCATAGATGCAGATCTGTATGAAGTCTTCAGGCTTGACTAGATTATGACATGCTTTGAATTTGTCTGATTTTAGGACATTGCACTGGCTTTCAATGTCTGGTTTATTCTCAGCAGTGCAAGAAGGAGCATCATCTTCTCTTAAGTCTGGTAAACAACTGCATGAAAGCACAGACACAGCTGCATTTAAGGTTCAAAGGCATATATAAGACAGAGACTGATACTGAAAAGTTTATTTCTACTGAAAGCTATTAAACAAATAACGCTGGGGACTACAGTCTTCTTTCTGTCTATGAGTGAAGGATTAAGCAGAATTAGACCTGCCTGGTGATAACCATGATGTGTCTGACCCTCATTACTCTCAGTGAATTTGACCCCGACTAGAGGATTGACTTCTCAGCTTGACCTCCTGTCTCGTCACTGCAAACTCGTGTGGTCTGTACTCTTGGCTGACCCTGGCTTCCACACTTGTGCCTGCCCTGCTTGCCTTGCTCAGGTAGTATGGGATGGGCCCTGACTGGTGAGGCCACTGCGGTCTTGGCTGTGTTATCACACTTGGATCCTTGTCCCTTAGGGAGCAGCTGGCCCTCACTGTTCCCCAACACCATCATCCTGTTCTAGGTCATTTCAGTATAAAATAAACAGAGATTATGTCCACACTGTGGACTGTCCTGAAGCCTAATTCCCCAAGTGTGTATGTAGATCAGTAGAATGGCTGTGGTTTCCCTCTGGCCTGTGCAGTGGTCTCCTGTCGTGATGGCTTTTGTTTTTTGAGCTTCAAATTTAAATCCAGAAAAGTCTCATATACACTACTTGTATGTTATGACGTAGCAAACAGTCAAAACTATTGAAAGGAGACTGTTTCCTGAAGGAAAATGGAAGGTATGAAAAGAAGTTACATTTACCCTTCATCACTGTCTTCCTCTACTTTCCAGCTGTTTCCAAACTGTGTGACACTGACAAGTGTACCATTGGGCAGGGACAGGTCATCTTCATGATTATCATTGAAGTTACCACACATGCCATGTACCTGCAAATGAACAAGAACCATGTTCTAAGCGCAATCTGTTCTACATCAGCTTCCCCAATAACTTCTTATTCACTGCCTATGAAATGATGTGACCAAATCACCACCAGCAACTGATCTTGTACCAGACACTTCAGACATACTCACTAGTGTCTGACTGCACCCATGGAGAAATAAAATAGAAACTGCAGTAAGTCTGTGGTTCCCTAAGGCTTCAAGGCATTTTATTCTATAAGCTGGATATTTTCCCTTAGCCAGGTCATTTTCTTTAACTACCCCCTTGGAACATGTGCAAATTGTTGTGAAGATAAAAAAATAGAAAGGAAAAAAAATTACATGTGTTACAATACGGCCACAAAGAAAGATGCAATAGCAAAACAAAGGAATAAAACAGATTAAAAGTAAATGCACAAAGCAGTAGTTTTGAAACAGTGCCAGATGTTTACATACTAAATCTTACCTTTGAGAAATAAGACTGTGGGAGGGTGATTTCCAGACGGTGATTGCCGTCATATTTCACTGTCACACCAAAGTCAGTTTCCACTACTATAAATCTGCCAACGTTTCCAATGGACACACCTCTCAAACGGTTCTCCACTGGAGTGGAGACTCTCTGATTGTTCAGCTGGAGAGACATGTCATTTGTCAGTATGGACATTGTTCCATGAAAGCTATTCTGCTCACAGTCTAAATTCCTTGCAGTGCTGAAGATTTCTCGACAATGGTTTTAGCTCCTTTACATTTCTACCATTGCATATTCCATCTATGGTTTGCAGGAATCAGCCTTTTAGCTGAGGAGATCTGGGCAAGACTCACAGCATGTGCCTTTAACAGGGAGCTGGGAAGACGCCAAGCTCTTACCCACCCATAGGCTGGATTCCCTGTCTCCAGTAATGCCATGGATCCCTGTGCTATTCTAGACCTATAAAGTATGACTTGCTTTTCCTCTGCTCTTGTTAGCTAGCTATAGGTGATTGGGTTGACAACAGCTGTTGTAGTGGTGAGCCCCATTCTTTAGTTCAGGCAACAATTCTCCAATCTGGAAGCTCTGCATTCCATCTCCAAGATACAGCCAGTAGAACAGTAAACCCAACGCAGAAGTCTTGGAAACTAGTGAGAAATGTTATTTCCCCATAATATCAAGGTAATGGCGGTGCCCACAAGTATTAAGCATAAGCGTACATACTCCTTAGAAGATATGAAGATCCTTTTTCTTACAGCTGCTGTACTGAGCTAATTTTCAGATACTTGTTGCCAGAATAAAGAGCACCACCACCTACCAGGACTCCTTGGCTTTTCTGAAGGGTGATTCGTACACCATACACATCTATGTAGACTTCTTTCAGGTATGTGGCCCCTCTTAGTCCTCTGTCTTCATTCTTGCCAAGGATGGTTATAGGAATGATACTGTTGGTGTTGACGACCTCAACCAAGGTGTAGGTGCAGGTACCCACAAAAGTGTACATCATTCCATCAAAAGTGAAATAATGGGGATCTCCTGCCACTTGACATGTTGCTTGGCCTGAAGGTGAAAAAATGATCTAAGAACTTTGGACTGGATTTCACCGCAGACTCAGCTGACCAAAGAGGTTTGTGTTAGTGCAGTAATCAAATCCTGATCATTATCGTGTTGGCAGACCTTCACAGAGGTACCTCAGGTTCATTCCAATGTCTGGAAATAAGACATTTCCAGAAAGTACCTCCTAAATTTAATTTGCAAATTATGTTCAAACTGGCAACTTGGCCACAAATGAACCTCTTTATACATTTCTATGTATATATGTATTTCTATTGTAGCTGTCCTTTATGGTAGTTGAGGGTAATACTTAGCTATATTAAAATAAAAAATTATATGTATAAACATAGATGTGATCATAAAAGTAAATAAATTTGCATCTATATACTTAGATACTTAATTCACATTCCATCACCCAGGCTTTCAGAAATACAGTTTTCAATTTTTCCCAAATTTAGAACTTGCAGCACTGGTGATGTGGGACTTGAATTTGTATTAAGACAAAAAGAACCCAAATGTCCTTGCAAGATTTTGGGCAGCATCAGTTTTTGTTGATATCCACTACAACAGAAGGGGATCTGTGCTTGCAAGATAGATCATCGTGTCTTTTCAACTCTTAGCACTGTCAGCAGTCAGTTGGGACTTCTTTGCCATCACATATGAAAAGACATTTATAATAAAGCTAGAAGGAGAAGAAGGATCTAATTATGGAATTGACATTGAGAGCCATTTTCAGGCAGGACTTACCATTGGAATGACAGCCTAGCACACCATCCTGAATACTGCATTCCTCGTGGACTCCACACTCCCAGGAAGTGCATACAATGGTGTTATTAGTGTTGCAGGTGCAGCGTTCAGTGCAGGGGTAACTGGTGAACCAGCTCTCATCCAGCTGAGCAGAAAAAAGAGTGTAGAAGTATATATTATAAGATAAATTGGAAGTTAATACCGTAAGGGACAATCAAATTATCAGTATTTGAATGTGCATGATATATGATCATTTGGGCAATTGTAGACACACAGCTCATAGATTTCTGTGCAACCTGCTGTAAGGTCTTTAGGAGGGGGGTTGGACTAGATGATCTCCAGAGGTCCCTTCCAACCCCTACCATTCTGTGATTCCTTGATTAAGAAGGCTGGCAAAGTGAGTTTATTTTGTTATTACCAATGGTGTAAATAATAATTGTGTTAGTGTTATTAACATTTTTCTCTCTCATGATGATAAAGAATGAGATCCCCTATTCGTTCTGTGTTTTTTTTTTTTTCTTTAAATGTTGGAGGTAACTTGCCTGGTGATACTGGTTTTTTCCATCAACACAACCACAGCTGCTTTCTGGCACGCATTTTTCTCCACTCAAAACATAGCCTTCCTTACAGAAGCAACCTTCCACTGGTAAGGTACTGCAGGAATCAACTGCTGAGATGTTCAAGCAGGTAGAGGGACACCTAGTACCACAGCTCTTGTAGATGCTGCCTCCAGGACAGTACATTGCTAGAGAGAAAAAGAAAAATAATATCACTCAAAAGGGCAAAATCATGATAAAAGTTTTCCTGATGCTTTCACTGTTTGCTCCTGAAAATATACAAAATTGCTGTTAGAAAGTCTGACACTGGTGAGTGCTGTGTGCAAAGGTTTTTCTTGCCATGCAAGATGGGTGGCTTTTGGTAGAAGTGCATAAGACAGGTGGGCCACCCTGCACTTCACCTTACAAAGGAAGTCAAACATTGCAGGCTCGCTTTGAGGGTAGGTCTGATGTGATCATACAGGACTAATTGTGCTTGGTTCATTAAACCTTTTTCTGGAGGTTTAAAGACATAAAGGCACTCCATTAAGGGAATAGAAGAATCTCTTCACGTACCAGCTGATATTACTGTAGTAACTATTTGAACACCTGCCATTTATTTAAAAATAAAATGAAAAATCAGACTCTGTCTTTCACTGAGACCCCTTGAGGAAAATACATTATACTGTCACATTCCTCCTGCTCATGGTACAATTGGGTTTCTGTCACTCAAAGCATGCTCCCTGGGGAAGACATTACTTTTTAAAGAAATCGTGAAGCATTTATCCATTTTTGTCATCTGAAAAAAATCGCAAAAACTGTTTCTGGCTAGATGCTGTGATAAATCACTACATATGAGTCTCATTTACTTCTATCCCCGCAGCAGGATCTCAGTCCTGTCAGGCAATTACAACCAACATCTCCAGTCATCTAGCCAGAGCACCTGCTCTTTGCCAGGTTTTTAATTGAGTTTTTATTTGAATTACTGATGGAGGAGCACTTGAGAGTCAATCCTCTTAATGTGACTGAGTCTTCTCTATCACTATAATCAAGCCATAGATATTTAGGTCCTGGGCTATGGCCTCAGACTATGGAGTCTGGATGTCCACAGCCTTGATCTGATTTGAAGGCTTAGAAGCTCATTTCTTTCTCTGTCTTCTTTTTATATATGAATTCTCTGTGCTCTGTCCTCCCAGGGCTGACTTACTGGGTGCTTTAAAGCCATTCTAAAGTCACAGTAATTCTTTTTCCAAACTGAGCAGCTCCTAGAATCTCTCATTTTTTTTTTATGTTTTAGTTTCAATGCAGAGCTAATTGTTGATCACAGGCAAAAAAAAAAAAAAAGAAAATAAAAAGAAGAAAAAAGGTAATACAGTGGTAACTGGTATAATAAAAATTAGTGTAAAAGACAAAAAAACATAGAGAAAAATGATGATTTATTTCAGCATGGTTGACCTTTAGAAGACTTTTTCTCTCCAGGTGTGTACTTTGTGCTTATAAAGGCCCTCTAGAAGATGTCTGCACAGTGCTTCATAAAATTGACACCAGTGGAACCCCTGGAAAGCTTTATTCTAAGAAATATGAGTTCATTATATGAGATTTCCCATAAGGTCATTCTGAAGAGAATTAATTGGGAGATAAGTGAAAATACTTGGTTTCTTTGCTTTATAGAGAAATACTTGTAAATTTCCCAGAAACAGCTGTTTCTTAAGGTATCTTCTTAAACTACTTTTTTTAACCAAAAGCCATCAATAAGCGTTTGTGTATGGAGGACTACCAGCTCCACTTACACTGAGGATGGTAGATTTTCAGTGGAGCAAAGCAACAGTTATTTCCCCAATGCAGAAGCTCACTTAAGATACAGCTGAATCAAACTTTTCCAAGAAACTAACAGTAAATCGAGAAACTAATACTAAATTATTAAAACTTTAAGGATTAGACTTACATGTATCCAAATGTTCTTGAAAATTAGTATTTTATACAAATTATGGAATGGAACTGAAACTGAAGCAGGCTCAGGACATGACAAAAGACAGACTATACTCAAAACATCACATAAAATGAAATAACTTGCATGAAAAAGGTAGAGGAGAATGTGCATACTTTTGAAGTTTAAATCCAGAATATATATTTATAAGTCACAGCACTCACGGCAAAGAGTAGCATTCCTCCACTCTATGCATATCCCAGCACTGATACATGACTCAGCATAGGCCTGTAGTCCGTAGCATAAGGATGTTGCCTGTCCATCAGTGAAGCACATGTCGTAAACACAATTTTCAAAGAAATTCTCTGGAGGCACTTTTGTATGACAATCTTTAAAGATTCCTGTGTAAATCAAGAAAGATATGTAGAAGGAAAGAAAAAAAAATGGGAATTATAAGACCGCCACCACCATCTATCTTCTGTCACGGCAAATGTATTGCGAGTGCTCCAGGCTAACTTTGTTTACTAAGTTAAACCAACACTTGAAACTGAGTATGCACAGTGAGACTTGGCCCTCTGGAACAGGCTTTCTTCTTTTTGCATGATCGATAAAACATACCTTACATAAATTAAGAGTTTCTGGCTAGGCAGGACACTAATTCTAGACAACTGCAGGGGCTGTCCAATGCAGGGAACATGTACAGAATTTCAGATAAAGTATCTGTAATACATGCAATGACAGTGCCCTACAAACTATTTCTTTTAGCAAGCAGAGTGCAAGACACTATAAAGCAAAGAGCAGCTACGGCTCCCTGCGCACATTCTTAGATAATCTTGGACATACTAGCACTGTCTGAACGGTTGACATATCCTGAACAAGCACCTGTGAGTTTCTTGTTGGCCATTCACACTGGAGGTTCTACGTGCTTGCAATGTGAGCTCAGAACAATGGACTATATAGCTTGTGTTGCCTCCTCTCTAAAGAGCTCCATCACATGGCTCACAGAGAACTACCAACATACTACCTGTTGGGTCTGTGATCATGCCACATGCTGTGTTCTTCTTTGCTTCACTCTCCAGCACAGGATCACATTGCTCTTCAGAAGTCCCGCTGGAACATCTGGGGAAAACAAGCAAAATCAAATGTGTGTTTCACATCTCTTACTATCAGATTTTCAGTGGAAGATTAACTCATGCCCTGCACAACAGGGTGTTTTTTATTACAGTCACAAGACTTTATCCAGCTTCTTTGAAAAGCTGATGTCAGCCCTGTCACTGAATGGACTCCCTTTTTTTGATGCCTTCTGGGCTATTCAAAGGCTTATTCTTAGCTGAAAAAAGAAGAGCTATGGGAGCCAATCAGTTGTGTTTTCTAATCAGGGAACTGGACTGAAGTCCTATCCTCCCTCACACTCAGCAGATAGTTCCTGCTTTTGAAAACAAGACTTAAAGGACACAAGCCCTCTTCTCATTCCCTGTTTAATGTAAAGGGGCAGCTCCCTACTTCTAATGGGCAGTTGGAAGATGTAAAATGGTACTGGATGACAAAGCCAGTGAGTGGATGGATATTTGATTTATTGAGTTTGATTAGCAAATGCCATATGATTAAATGAATATACATACATGGTGTTATTCTCAGGCACAAGCCAGCTTTGTCCAAGATCAGTGGAACCACTTGCAAAGTCACCATTGGGCTTTATGTTGTCATCATTTGGATCACCGTTATAATTACCTGTGAGGGTAAAAAGAAATTTAGGGGGCACATGAAGTTCACATCTGTAAAACAAACCTAGGTTTCAGGCTGTAAAATAAACTACAGTTAACTAGGGACAGTGTATATACAACATCGATATGTACCAGGCAAAATAAGAAGAGCTCAATTGGCTTTTAGACTTTGATCAATGGCAAGAGCTGTTGTTCAGAGACTTGTGGGCTTGAAGCAAGAACTGTAAGTTCTTATGCAACTAGATCACACTGCATACAAGAAAGAATTGCTTAGCTAAAAAAAAAAACCCTATTAATTTCCTTGGATCTTACCTGTAGAATGTTGGACTAAAAATCAAATGGCGTTATTCGCACCGTTATATTCTTAGGTAGATTTCTTGAATTGAAAGGGTGAAAAACCCATGGAGAGATAATTGAACTAGGAAATTTCAAATTATCCAAATCAAAGAATAATCAGAAACTCACAAGACAAGCAACTCTTGTAATTTCTACAGTCCCATTTCCATCCTGAAGTACATTTCATATAATCACCTGGATTTCAGAATGTTGTTCCAACTAAACCTGCTCAGGTTCAGGCATTAGCAACACTGCTGATGAAAATTAGTCACTACTAATTCCAGCAAGTTCCTACTCTCATTAGCTACATAATCCACCTGTGGTTTATTTATTTTGCTATGCTATTGCAACAGAATTTATTATAGAACACAGTAGAATGCACCCTTTGTGCCTGGTCTTTCTCACAGGACTCAAAGGCCTCTATGTTTTGCATCATAAAATCATGGAATTGTTTGGGTTGGAAGGGACCTTAAAGATCATCTCGTCCAACCCACTGCCATGGACAGGGACAGGGACACCTTCCACTAGACCAGGTTGCTCAAAGGCCCATCCAGCCTGGGCTTGAACACTCTCAGGGAGGGGGCAGCCACAGCTGCTCTGGGCAACCTGTTCCAGTGTCTCACCTCCCTCACAGTACAGAACTTCTTCCTAATATCTAATCCAAATCTCCCGTCTTTCAGTTTGAAACCGTTACCCTTCTTCTTATCACTACACTCCTTGATGAAGAATGTGTCCCCATCTTGTATCATACATAGCATTTAATATTTTGTGGTACTTGAATTTTGGAAATAAATTATGAGGTTTTTTTCTTATTCAAGTCTGTCAGCTCAGGATTATCCATATTGGATCCTTGCATCACTTTGGTTTTTATGTAGACACTGCATATCTTAGCTGGAATAAAAAGTAGGTAAAAATAAGCCTTTGTAGTCTAATTTTTCTTTCTTTTTCTTCTATTTCTTCTTTTGTTTTTTCTTCTTTGATCATGTAAACATGATCATTCAGGTTGTATAAATATCTCCTAACACAGCACAGGAAAACAGCATCAGGAAAGCTTGAGGATGTTGACAGTAAGCTATTCTGAAGATTACTCTCTGCTGTGGAAACAGCCTCAAGTTTTTATGATTCATGAAAAGAGGTGGTATAGCATTCCTCACACCCAACAAAAGACAAATACATCAGAATGTAAATAACAGAAACATGTATTTCTAGAATTCTTGAGTGGATACATGCAAATCATTACTTTTCCTAAATTTAAACTGTAGAACTGAAGTGAGGTTTTTCATTTGGCTAAAAATGTTATTTGTAGTTATGCCTCAAACCATTCCAAATGGATATCACGTTACCAGGAACTTTGCAAGTAACATTCTTATAAACTGAAAAATTCTATCAAGTTTTCTTCACTGCTGTAAATTCTGGTCCATTTGACAAGGACTAGTTGTGTATAGAATAAGTATGACATGCTAAGAAAAAAAGTTTAAGTAAGCACCAGCCTCCACAACTCACTAAAAAGTGTCTAAGCCTACAACTTACCACAGAGGCCACAGAGCAGACCATGGTAATTAGAGGGCACAGAGACTTCTGCATAGTGATTTCCATCGTATATCACCCACAGTCCAAAGTCAGTTTCCAAGAGAATATATCCACCACTGCTTTGAATACTGATCTTCTTTTCAATAAATACAGGCAGGTTCATTCTGCTGCCATTCACCTGTACAGCAAGTTGTAAAAGTTAGTGTATGGCTGCTGGGACTCCTACAACTACCAGCAGCTAGAATGGATTAGTGAAAGACAGGATTTTGTGCACAATGGAACTGGAAGTAATTAAAGAACACTTCATCTAAGCAAATTTGTTGGACATCTCATTAGAAGAGATACATTTAACTAACAAAAAGAGAAAGTTTGATATAAACTCTACAGAGAAAATATTTCATTATCTGCATGTCAGTTAAAAATATGTCTTTTAAACAAGTATTTTCTTACGTTCACTTTCTTGTTTTTCAGCAAAGAAATCTGGTTGCCATAGACTTCCACTTGCACTGACTTCACGTAAGAGACTTTGGTGTTGGCTCCTCTGTGCTCATTCATTGTGGACACATCAAAGTATGGAAGCCTCTCAGAGACGTTGCACACTTTGGAGAGGGTGTAAGTGCAATTTCCCATGAAATTATGAACTCTGTGGTCAAAAGTGTTATAATGTGGATCCCCAGAGGCACTGCAGGAAGCACGGCCTGGGAAGAAAGACAGACAGATTAATTCCTTCTGAATCTCTACCAGACTTCTGCAGTTACTTTGTTCCCACTTTGTTTGTTTGTTTTACTTTGTAATTGCTGCTCAGATATGACAGTGATGGCATCAGTTAAGAACATTCCAAAGCCCAACCCACCCTTCTGTCCTTGGATTCATAAAGAATCCATACTCTTGTGTATCAGAAATCTGTGCTAGATATTGAGAAACAAATATAAGCCAAAATCTTTGATATTAAAAAAAGCTTTGTTATTAAGACACCATTGTAGAAAGTGAGCAGTGAGTTTTTAGTGTCCATGTCTAAAAGGTTATTTCTGACCAAATAGGAAGAATTTACTCAAAAACTTTACAGGGTTGGTTAGCCAGAAAGGACCAATGCACTACCAGCTGTCTGGGCTACTGTACGCACATCTATTATGGAATTACTATTGAACATCACGAGACTTTACATACTTTTAAAAAATATTGAAATTAATTAGCCAGTGACAATATGTACAGCTAGAGGTACACAGCATGTGTGCATTTGTGTGTGTGAGCTGGGTAAGGTTTTGAGTACTAATAAGAAATTCCTATTTTCAACAAAAAATAATTCCCATTAAATATTAGCAGAGTTGAGCTTGCAGGTGCTTTCTGATGTTTACCAACAACAACAAAAAATAATGAAAACAGGTCTTTAGCTATTTTCCACTTTTCAATGACATGTTACAAAAATAGCTACACATATGGTTGTGTCTACATGTCAACCTTAACTGCTTAGAAACAACTAAAACTCCAGAAACCACATACATAATTTTTGAAAAAACTGCAGAAGACATCCAAAATGACTAGGTGAGCTAGCACTCTCTTGTACTTAACAAGTTGACACATGGAGAAGACAGTGCTCAAAATCAGAGGAAAGAAGCAGTTAAAACTTATCTAAACTGACATCTCAGTGTATTCCATAAGCATTAAAATAATAATAACCACAATGACTCAGTCTTTTCCACCACAATATAATTCAATTATATCCAAAATAAACAAAAGATTTGGAAGGTAAATTAAATTTAAAATACTACAAACAATAATGTCTGTATAACAGAAGAAACCTTGCCATTGGAAAGGGTAATTTAAATATTCACAGGCATAGCAATAGAGGGTATGTGAGATAACTACCAGGCAGCTGGTCTACTGTTACCTAAAACAACAACACTGTGGCAAAGAGACACAAGACAGGACTTACCCAGTCACTACTCAGAAAGAGTCCAAGCACTGAAGGACTGCCCCAACAGTGTGAATGGGTAAGCAAGGAAAAGGTCTGACTTTCCAGTGTAAAAATTGTCACTTGGATGTGGGACCCACATTAAGAAAACTGAGCACTTACGACAGGCAGCAAAAGATAGGGAGAGGAAATTACAGTACCTGAGCTCAGTGTGGGTCTTGGAGGTGATGGCGTGCGTGGGGGCTGTGTTGTAGGGCCCGGCAAGGGGATCGTGGGTTTCGATATAGATGGACCTAGCACAAGAGAGAGTTAGTGGAGATCTGCACCAACACAAGAGATTTGTTGCAAGCAGCTGGCCCACCCTTCCGAAACACCCAACACCGTGACCCAAAAGGCCCAGGCCAGGGATCGCACAGTGACTCCTCAGTAAAAACCCCAGCACTCGGGGGCCCTCCCCCCAGCATAGCTGGAGATAGAAGGAGACACGCATCCCTTTCGCTATAGACACTCCAATGCATGGTCATGGACTTTGGAGCAAGCAAAATGAAGAGTGTCAATGAAGAGTGGATGAAGGGAGCGAGCATGAGAGTACCTGAGGTCGGTGTGGGTCTTGGTGTAGGCAGAGGCCGTGTTGTGGTGGTCGGCGAGATGGTCCCGGGTTCCGCGGTTGCTGGACC